AATAAACCTTTTTTTATATAACGGACACTAGAAGAAGCTTCATTCACCCTAAGAGATTAAGATTTGGTCCTTCTTCATTCATAATTTTCAGTTTTATAAAAAGTACCTACCCACACTAAATAAATGCTTTTCACTGAAGCAACAAATATTTGTCCCCATTCACCACCGTCACAACCATACCCTCGTGACCTCACACCAATAATAAAATATTGTGATAAGTTTCAACAAAATTATCTATAAATACTTATAAATAAAAAAAATAAAAGTTATATTTATTATAAACTAAAATTAGTTTAAACATAAACTAAACTAATTTAAACTTTTATATAACTCTTACATTTTTTTCTTTTTTTTTTCAAACAAATAATTATTGATCAATTAATATAAATTATATACATTTCATGTGATTTTTCCATCAAACTATATATATATTCAATTATCTTGGATCTGATTTCACCAATTTTTACTGGTCCCACAACCATACACTTATACATTATCATGATCACGTAAATCAATCATAGTGAGCTACATATAATTGTACTTTGCACACACTATTTAACAATAGTATTGTTAAATATAAGATTTTTGTAATAATTATTGTATGAAGTAATAATTAAGATAATGGAAACTTTGAACACACAATATTAATTTTTTAACATGATTTATTTCATTATTATTTAGTTGTAAATTGTTTAAATTACAAAGAATTCAGATCAGAAAAATATTTATTGAATGTAATTTGGAATATTAAGATTAAATATATATATATATATATATATATATATATATATATATATAATCAGTAAATATCTGCACGTTTTTGGAACGAAGAACAAAAATACAAAATTTAGTTAAGAAAACATTGATTTACTTGATAATTATCTACAACACGGATCAACATATAGTTTATTTAGTTAAATGAAATTTAATATTATTTTTAGCCATATAAATAACAAATTAGCTAGAAAAATTAATTTAATGGTTATAAAAAAAATATAAAAAAATGTATATATTAAAAAGAAAGTAATTAAAATATGGTCTACTCTTTTTGAATTTTAATAAACAACACATGTTTCAAATCTTGAGTTTTCTAGTTGAATACTAATGTTGGATGTGTTGTCTAACATAATTCATTTTGAAATAGAATTTAAAATAAATTATTTGAATAAAACGTTAAGAAACGAATTGAAATTTTTATGTAATAATTTAATTTTTCATATAAAAAAGTTTTTTTTTTAATTTATATATTTTCTTTCATTTTTTTCCTTTTATTTAATTTTGTTGATTGAAACATCTTTACCCTATTTAGCTTGTTTTAAATAAATTGATGTGTTTTGAATAATTTGATCTAGCTTAGACCACTTGATTTAATTCAATCCATTTCAGAATAATCTGACATAAATAATATTATCACTCAACCAAGTTGGCTTAGTTGATTAGGCTAGCCTAACCCGATCAAGTTGGTCAGTCCCAACTCGACCCCAATTGTGACAGACTTTACTCATTTTTACAAGACCCCACTCGTTTTGACCAGCTTTTACTTGTTCATCTTGACCCAACCATCTCAACCTAGGCTAATCATCTTGTTTTGCTCGATCCAACTCATCCTAATTTGACGTGATATGATTCATCTTAATGTGATTGGTCACATGATCTTTTCTCATCCAATATGTCTTGTCTCGACTTAGTTCAACTGTCTCATCTTGACCTGGTCTGTCGTGTCACATTCCTGTTCAACTCGACCAATCTCAATTTACTTATTATAACTCGACCCAACCTAATTCATCTTGACATAATTTGACTTGTTCTCATCTAACTCAATTTAATCTAGCCTTCCAAACTTGATCTAATCCATTTTAATAAGATCTGACCCTATCAATTCGATTAATTTCATTTTGACCTCATCTTATTCAACCCTTAATGACTTATCTCGACTTAACATATCATATATGAGGGTAGTGTTAAGTATTATAAACCAGATGTAATTGAAATATCTAGTAATTATAATTTGATAATAATTAAAATATTTTATTCGAGATAAGAAAATTAAAATTTAATAAATTTAAATTTTATTATCTAAATAAATCATTCAAAAAATTAAATAATTTAAATTCAATGTATTTAAATATTTTGAAAATATAAAAATTTCTTATTCAAACACACAAGGAAAGATAGTTTTTTTTTTTTAATTATTCTTCATTTTGATTCTTAGGAGAATTTTAAAATGTACTACAATTAATATCGTTTTTTAAATTATATAAAACTTTAATGTATGTTGAAACAAATTTTTAAATTTGTAGGATATTGATATTATTATTATTATTAGTTTAAAAGATGTTTTAATGAATTAAAAAATAATATTTATAAGATTCAATTATTACGTAAAATAATATACAAGAGTGGTTACAGTGTGTAAAAAAAAAAAAAACATCTTAATGTCTGTTCCAATATTTTTCTTGTTTACCATCATCGTGAAAAAAAAAAAAAAACTTATATATAGATAACAGAATTGTCCTACTGGTTATAATGAACTATAACATCATGCACTGAATTAGAAGCATGTGGAATCTCATTTTTCCACTTGATCATTGTCCACATCTACATAAGAAAAATACTAGAAGAAATGATGACAAGTACACGTTTGAATCTACTTGCTCCTCCACCAGTAGCCAGAGACACATGATCCAAACCAAACTCTCTAAGCCTCAGTTCCATACATCATTCTCAAACTATGAGCATCAACAAATCCAAGTCATCAGAAAATTAAATGACTCAAACCTGATTCTGTTGCTTAATTATTCCAATCCACACTAACTATACCTACAATATCTGCTTGCTCCTCGAGTTTGAATGAGGTAAGGAAACCAACAAATACTTTTGTATATTTTATGAATCGGTATATATAATTAAGATGAAAACATTTTAAAAATAAAATATAATCTTAAAACTTTAATATTTTTTCAGACTATGCGTAAATCCCATGTATGTTTATTTAATAAAAATAATAAAATTAAATAAAGTTTACATTGGAAAATCAAAAGTGTAATCAACTAATAAAATGATGATCTATAGTATATTTTTAATATAAAAACAAATGAAACTAAATGACTTAGATCATGAGAAAGGTTTTGGATCAAAGGTTCAATCTTTAACTTACCACATCTCTAACCTTTCTAACTACTTAATTGCATTTGACAAAAACAAGATGTACAAAATTTTGAAGATATGAGCCATAGAATGTAGAAAATTTTTAAACTTTAAAAATAAAATGTATAGGTTAATTTTCTTACCATATTAGGCAATATCAAATAGAATTCTTACGCGAATTACTTAACAATAAAATATTATTTTAATATAAATTTAGCATTCTACTTACGAGAATTGAATGTTATATATATAAGATTTATATTAAAGTAATATGTTTACAAGCAATTTTTTTAATACATTTTTCTTTAAAGATATTCTTATTAATATCATTCATTTATTAATATCCAAATTTTACAATAGTTATTTAACAAATGACAATAGCCTAACAGGGTGAAAAGTAATAAAATGGAATTAATCTAATTAAAAATTACTAAAATAATATACTTAAAATACAAAATAATCAATTATTAATTAATAATGTCGAGTAATCAATTAAAAAATTTATTATATAATTATTACCATAGATAAAGAAATAGAAATATCAATTCATGATGAAAAATGTACTGTACGTGAGATGTAATGAAAAATTATATTCAAAGTGAAAGATTACATGAAAAATCTTCTTAAAATAAAAGAATATTATAAAATCTCATGTTAACGAAAGATATGATAATATTATATATATATATATATATATATATATATATTAATATAAAAATAAAAATTTGTATAATTAAATTATATATTTCACAATTTTTAAGTAAAGTTAATTAGTAATGTTGAGATATGAAAAATACTCTTAGTATAATAAAAAATATTCTTAACTTAAGTAAGTGTGATAAAATTTCGTATAGATTAAATATATAATAATATTATAATATATAAATGAATATCATTCTCATTTTTTTTAAGTCAATTTTATAAAATTAAATTAATATCTCGTAATTTTATTCAACATAAAATATAGTACAAGCAAAGACAATACTATAAAACTTAAGAATTAATATTTGTATAAGTAACATAATTTTTAATTTTTACGTGTGTGTTTTTAATGGTCATGTTACATATAACAACAATGCTCAAATATTACGCATATTTCTAATATCAGCCTCCATGACTGACTTAATTGTCAGAATGTTCTTTTGCAGATACACGGTTAACACCTCAATTGTGAAGTCGAAGAAAACTAAAGTATATCGACTATTTAAAAAATACTTGGAAGTATTTGAAAATTAAATTATTGTGGTTGGTTATGAAAGAGGTTCTTATACTTACAAGAACATATAATAATTTTTGTAGGAAAAAATAAAATAAATTTGTTCCAACATTTTAAAATTAATTTATATAAAATTTAAAATTGCTTTTTCAAAAAATTATAGAAAAGAGTTTGTACATGTTATATAAAAAGGCTAAAAATGCCAACAATTATTGTTGCATTTTTCTTTGTGGTATGCTTTGGTTTAATAAAATGTTAGCTACCACTAAAATAATCTATAATGTTTTTGAAAATTTAAGCAAGTGAAGTTTGGCTTGTGTACGTCCCTATACCATCCACACAAACACAAATGACTATACCTAACTCTACTCCCACACATGGGACACACACTATGCCTTTTGTTTGCTTTGTAATGAAATATCTCTAAAATTGTTTCTTCTCTCTTCCGCACTCTCCAAATCCAGTACTGCACCACCTCTTGAGAGGTAAATTTCCTCACCATGTCTTCTTCCTCCAACCCCTCTCCCACATTTCCCTTGAACTTCTCCATCATATACCATATGGACACCAATTCTAGTTTCTCAGTTCATACTTAAACATAATAGATAAATCATATCCTTAACAAAGAACTCTCTATATGGCAGCCTTCTCCAAGTCCAAGCTTCAATCTAGAGTACTTGTTCTTGTTCTCAACTTGTCTTCCGTCTTCCTCTTCTGTATCCTTCTAAAGCTTTATCTCCACCCTCCTAACTCAAGTTCACAAGGCCAGTCCAATGGCTCTCTTCCCCTCACAATCTTAAACCATGCAAGGTTGTCCAGAGATGTTAGTGTTGAAGGCTGCTCTGATATACACAAGTATCCAGATTATGGCTCCAAGTGCTTATATGTCAAAAGTAATCTTGAGTGCAGGTCAAAAGGGTACATCAACTATCTTCAAATCTTCTACTGCAACTTCGAAAAATTCCCAATTTTGGGACAAGCTCTCCTTGCCTTGTGGCTAGCGGTGTTGTTTTATCTATTGGGTGACACAGCTTCCAACTACTTCTGTAGTTCCTTGGAGGGTTTGTCCAACATCTTGAGGCTCTCCCCCACCATTGCTGGAGTGACCCTTCTTTCTCTGGGAAATGGGGCTCCTGATTTCTTTGCTAGTGTTGTGTCTTTCACAGGATCATCCAGCAATGGTGCTGTTGGATTCAACAGCATCCTAGGAGGGTCTTTCTTTGTGTCATGTGCTGTCTTGGGGATCATAAGCATTCTGGTTAGCCCAAATCAAGTTGAGGTTGATAAGGCCAGTTTCATCAGGGATGTCCTTTTCTTCCTTTTCTCTCTTCTCATCCTCCTCGTCATCATTTACATTGGTAAAATCACTTTGTTTGCTTCAATCTGCTATGTTTCTATCTACTTCCTCTACGTCTGTGCTGTCTCAGCCACACATCTCATATATGGAGGGGACACAATAAATGAAAAGCAGCACTCAATGTCATACGAGTCACTAGAGTCTAGCATACCTTTGTTGGGCTATGTTGATGAAGAAAAACAAAGTTTGGCAGAGATAGTGGTGGTTGAAGATAAGGAGCAAAAGGCAGCTAGTATTTTTGGTCAGAATTCATTGTTTGATTGCATTTACTTGGGAAAGATTCTACAAGTACTAGAACTACCTCTTTGCTTACCAAGAAAGCTTACCATTCCAGTGGTGAGTGAGGAGAAGTGGTCAAAGCCATATGCAGTAATATCTGTCACATTAGCACCAGTTTTACTAGCAGTTCTTTTCAATACTCAAAGTGAAAACGTGGTTTCAAGGAACAGCCTAGTCACATACATGGTAGCTGCTTTGATTGGGATAGTTTTGGGTAACATGGCATGCGTGACAACTGAAAGGTGTAGCCCACCAACCAAGTCCTTGTTTCCTTGGCTGGCTGGTGGCTTTTCCATGAGTGTTACATGGACTTATATAATTGCCGAGGAGCTAGTTTCTCTCTTGATTTCAATTGGGAGCATCATTGGGGTTAGCCCTTCAATTCTAGGACTAACCGTCCTAGCTTGGGGCAACTCACTTGGTGACTTGATAGCCAATGGTGCCATGGCCTTGAATGGTGGGCCAGATGGTGTCCAAATGGCCATATCTGGTTGCTATGCTGGTCCTATGTTCAATACCTTAATGGGTTTGGGCTTGCCCCTTGTTCTCTCAGCTTGGTCTGAACATCCAGACCCTTATGTCACTCCTAAGGATCCTTCACTTTATGAGACCCTTTTGTTCTTGATGGGAGGGCTTCTTTGGGCCCTTGTGATCTTGCCGAAGAAGAGTATGAAGTTGGATAAATCCTTCGGGGCAGGGCTATTGAGTGTGTACCTCTGCTTTTTGGTTACAAGGATTGCCATGGCTATTGGGGTGCTTAACTTCTAGCTAGAGATGTAAGTTTCTTAAGGGAACTTCATCATAAGAGGGTCCATTGTGGTCCTTCTCATGGTACAAGCTCATTACGTTTGCGTGTATTTATTGTATCTTCTTAAAATGATACTTCTCTTAACTCAAACTCTTACAAAATGAAAAACAAAATCACAATATTATATACTTCCTTTTTAGTAGTTACTGTAAATATTCTCATTTAAGTAGTTACTTTCTTAATAGTATATAGGAAAATATTTTTTTCTACTGCGTGAGACAGACTGAGAGTACTACACTGTCATAAATTCATAATTAACGTTTAACAATAGAATCAATGAGCTAACTATAAAAATTAATATAAATTTTCACTCAACTAATAATAATGTTAATCTATTTTAAAATAATAATTATAAAAAGTAATATTTTCTCATAATAGTAGAGAATTTCAATTTCTCTTACTAATGTTGTTGCATATGCCGAAGAGTGTCAGAAATTCGGATCCATAATCACTTTCAGCTGTATGATGCATATATGATATGTCGCAATCTCTCTCTCTCTCTCTAAAGATATATTAAATTTAAAATATATTTTTATATTTGTTTATATTACGTTTTTAACTATGTAATTAAAAAAAAATTATTTTAGTCCTTTCATCATATCATAAAATGTCCAATCCAATAACATGTTCATTATCGTTTCAAAGTATTTATTTTGATATATAGACGTTTGAATATAGGAGCTAAAATACATTTTTTTTCAACTTCCAAAATAAAAAAAATTCCAGTTTTAAATTTAAAATTTAAACTTTAGAGAGTAAAGATATATTTTAAGTTTTTATTTTATTTTTGTCCATTTCAGGTATTTTTTTAAAATAAATTAATGAATGATGATATTTAATAGAATAGGCCAAAACTTGTACATCAAGATCAATGATAATAATACCGAATTGATGAGGATATTCCTTCATTCAATACATTTCATGCATGTTGGTTGATAATTTGTCATACGTGCCTAAGAGCTGTTATAGTTCGTGATTCAATTACGAAGGGATAAGATGATGGGATAGTGGAATATGCGTTGGTATATGTATCTTGTCAATTTTCATGTCTCTTTAATAAAGAAAATAACTTCAATTTAAATGAAAAGTAGGTCTACCAAAATATAATACAGAATTAAAATAAAAATATACATACCTGATTTTAAAATATAAAAAAAGCTTTTTTTAATTATAAAAACATAATTATTTATTTAAAATGATTTATGTAGATGTATTTTTTAAGTATTCGTTGCTTTTCATATATTTTTTTACGATCTTCATATTTTCCCTCAACGTCTTTACATTATTGCCAAGCCCATGAACTTTTTAGAAAGTCGTAAAAGTTGTATGAGAAGCAGTTATCAGATTATATAAACTTGTGATTCAAACTTTTGAGTATATGCCATTGTATTTAACAGGAGGAGTGTAAAAAATAGATAACGATGAATAAGTTCAAAAAGTTTGAAAATAGATGAGGTAAAAATATTAACGACGTAAATTAAATTGTATCGCTAAACTTATAAATTCATTTTTTTTATAACATTATTATTTTTAAATAAAAATTAAAATAATATTATAAATATATATATATATATATATATATATATATATATATAGTCATATTCATATTAGATGATATTAGAATAACGTTTTATGTGTGACTCGTGAAATGAGTCTATGAACTCTAACTTGTATAATTACAAATGACAAATAATAGGAGAAACAACGAGTTAAATAAAACAGTATAAGTTATTAAAGACATGAAGGCCTGAAGGAACCAATGAATCAAAGGCATGAAGGAAATAATGAATCACAATATTTAATTGAATTTAGGAGAATCAAACCTACACAATTTTCTCGAGGTTATAACCTAGAAAAGGCTAAATTATGAATTAAAGAATTATAAAAAATATTTCAAGTTATGAATTATCCAGGCAACCAAAAGGTGAATTATGTTGTGTTTATGTTGATAGGAGATGTTGAATATTGGTAGGATAGTACTATGAGATTACTAAAAGGAGGAAGAATAATTATTTAGAACAAAACTTTTAGAAAATTATTTTCCCAATGATGTAAGGAGAGCAAAAGAAATAGAATTCATGCAATTGAAGTAAGGGGTTAAGACAGTAGGATAATGTCTCTAAGTTTAAAGAGTTAGAAAAATACTCTGCATTTTTTTATTACCCTGATGAAAGAATGAAGAATATAAAATTTAAAAATTGACTTAGGTCTAAATTGAGAAAAGCAGTGGGGATATTAGAAATTTATGATTTTCCTACGCTTATTCACAAGTATAGTTTTTGGAAGATTTTGAAAACCATCAAAATAATAAACCAAAATGGTGAAGTACGGGTGGGTTAGAGGTGGGCTAGACTGGTGGAGTAGATATATGATGGGGTGATAAAGTAAATGGTGAAGAGTTAAACCTAAGGCATTGTATAACATGTTGACTAATAGGTTAGGTAATTGGAGAAGGGATAGAGCAGATACTTGAAGTAGAATTATTGGTTTGTTAACCAAATATATTGGCCTACTGGTTTGGTGAAAGGGTAGAGGAACCAAAGGTTGCCATGCTGGCTTAGAGATGAGCTAGAATAAAGGATTTTCCCAAGTTTAATAGCAAGACGACCATGCATTGATGTGGAAACTCCATGTTTTAATTGGTTGTAACTAATAATCCTCCTATCCTTTCCTCTTGTCCTAGACATTTGTATTGCAAAAAAATAGAATAATATTGACAATTAAGTTTATAACATTATAAAGTTAACATAATATAATATGCCAATAAATGAACCATTATTTTCTTCATCATTCACATGTAACAATTGTTCATCATTGGCTTCTATTGTCATGTTCTCATCTACTTGTTCATCACCAATCAATACTTCAACTATCATGGTGTCAGTTAAACCTTCTACTTGTTTAATTGTTGTAATTGACAAAACATTTGGAATTTCATCAGCTTGATAAGGCAATTCTTATTCTATATTTAATGTAACCTCGTGGTTTTGTTATGATTGCTACACACTAACCACGAAATTTTGTACACATTTTTGGACAAGGGACATAGTGAACTTGTCTTGCTTTTTTGGAAGGATGAATGGATCGGAGTATATCTTCTACTCATCTTGATATCTACAATACTATATTGTGAATGAACCCTCATACCACTATTTCTTGTTGGATCAAATCATTCACAATAAAAAAAGTGATTTTTTTTACTCAATCCAAGATATTGTACTTCATAAATATGGTGGATACTGAAAAAAGTAATCTTATCCTCCTTTAGTAACACTTTTTACATGTATCTAGGTATGGCAACGGAGCGGGACGGGGGCGGGTTTTGCCTCCCGATTCCCGTCCCCGACTTTTTTAATTATCCCCGCCTCGATCCTCGCCGGGTTAGAAATTAAGTCCCCATCCCCGTCTCCGCTGGGTTTCGGTTCCCCGCTCCGCCTCGCCTCGTCCCCGATTTATATTATTTTTAAAAAGATAATTACATTTATAATAAATTAATTTTACTATCTATTTTTTATATATAAATAAATATTTATAATTTTATAATTTATAATACTTATTAATTAAATATACATTCTAATTTATTATATTTATATTAAAATATGTATGTAAAAGAAATATTTAATCATTTTTTATTTATAACATTATTATTATAATATTGTATTCAAATATTTGAATACTTATAACATTATTATTATAATACTGTATTCAAACATTTGATTATATATATAAGTTAATTCATTTTTAAGTTGTCATTTAAAAATATGAAATATATAGTTTATAAGAAAATATGTAATAAGTTAATTATTATTCAATTAGTTCAAAGTAATAAAAGTTTAAATTATCAATTCCTTTAATCCTTTAAAATACAATTATTTTATTAAGATAAAATTTGATATATGATAAATAAGAATAATAAGATAAAAAAATGACATAATAAAACCTAATAAATATAAATTATAAATAAAATAATATTATTTACTACTAAGATTTATGTAAAATATTTAGAAAAAGATAAAGAATAAAAAAATTAACATTGTGTTCATCAAATTGATTAAAAAGATTGAAAAAAAAAACAAATTGATGGGAGAGATTAAGAAAATGTGAAAAACTGAAAGGTAAAAGAGAGAATAATGTAATAAATTAATTGATATAAAATATTAAAAAAGACAAAAAAATTAAAAACTAGGTATAAGAAAAATAAAAATTGGTGAAATATAAAAAAATGACCTTATATGTAATAGAAAAAGAAAATAAAATACTTTTAAAATATTAATATTTTAAAATTTAAATTTAAATATAAAGTCGGGGCGGAGACTGGGCCGAGGTCTGGGTGGGAATTGCATTACCCATCCCCGCCCCGCCCCGATTTTTAAAGCGGGAAAACCCAAACCCGCCCCGCCCCGAGTCAACTTGGGTTTTCCCAGTCAAACTCTGGGCTGGGACAAGTCGAGTCCTCACGGGGATGGGTTTAATTGTCATCCCTAAATATGATGCAAAGAATCTCAAATTGATAAACTTCAAGGCATTATTCATACAAGACCTCTATAATTGGATACAGAAGCTAATTAAGTCACACAAAGAGAGAAAACTAGGTCTAGAGCTTAAAACCACTAAAAAATGAAACTTATGAATTTGAGTCTTCTAAGACTTATTTATACAACAATAAACATGCTAAATAGAATAAGGTCTATTCAAGGCGCATAATTATCCAATTACATAACATAGAACTTAAATTGTGTTTTTGCATAATTATGGTTCTACAACATATTCGCTAAGCGAAATCGATAATTAAGTTGATGAAAGTCGACATTCTCTCTGAGTGAAATACTCCATATGCTTAACAACTTGCAAATTTTGGAATGAACCCTTTGACATTGTTGTGCCTGATACAAAAATCTTTAGTCGTTGAGCAAATTCTTTAGAATAATTTTTTTTAATTTATCATTCTGGTGAAAATAAA